TGAGTGACGACCGATCCTAAAAGCATTCGTTCCACAACCACTGAACGAACTACAGCCTTTCATGTGTTCAAATGGGTACAGCTTTAAGATTACCTCACGGTGGCACAGTGATTTAATCTACAATATTATCGCAACACCCGCAGAACACATTAGACGTGCACTCAGTACACGCTACTCTTAACTGCTTGATGTTTTCAGTCTTTGTTGTAGCGTAAAACTCTGACGTATCACACTTCCCACCAATAGCAGCCCTCTAGTCCAGCTGATAAGTAACATTCCCCCCGCACCGACCAGACACGACTTCCTTCAGCAGGGTTTTTCTCGTGATCTGTGGACAGTACAGTTTCATACCCTCCTAGCGTTGATAACAAAATGACGAATGACGAAATTCGTGAAGAAGATATTGAGGTGCTGTGATCTGTTCGCCAAAGCAGTAATTACAGGAAAAGGACTTCGTACCTGTAAATATACGTTGCAAAGAATGCAAGCAATTTCATAGACTTAGCAACTGACCTTTGACGATGTTTTGGATATTTGAATCGGCACAAGCCAGCGGGCCTAACCCATGAGAAGTTACGAAGCACAGGAACATCAAGGTGCGAATTTCTATCACCACATGACTGTCTTTAAGCTGTACTCTTAATAAAAATGGCATAATAGCAATAACTAACTAACTAGACGGCTTACCGAACCCGAAGGTTCATCACCGAATTAACCAAAGTCCTCCATCGGACCCTGTCCTGGGCCAACAAAATCCAGTCTCCTTCAACTCCTATCTCCCGTAGATCCCGCCTGACATTATCCTCCCATCGCACTAGGATGCCATGGCGTTAAGCTGCCAGAAAAAGACGCCAGCCAAGCTGCCAGCTTTCGACGCCAGTCGAGCGAACAGATGGATGTTGAAGAGGGTTCAATGACAAAACCGCACAGAAAGAAGCTCACTGTCATAAATACTCACACTGACGAATGCTCACATAGACGAATGGCCATATTCACAATTCAGAAGCGTTAACTGGTTACCGTAGTAAACCGACGTTTCGGGAACAAATTCAATAACATCTTCTCGGGTAATCAGCCCCGTTAAATTTGTACCGTAGTAAACCGACGTTTCGGGAACATATTCCGTAGTAAATTTTTACTGATAAATGCTCACTGACAAATGCTCACACTGACAAATGCTCACACGTACGAATGCTCACATGGACGAATGCCCATATTCACAATACTATAAGTAATCAGAAGCGTTAACTGGTTACCGTAGTAAACCGACGTTTCGGGAACAAACCCTGAAGATGGGGACACTTGAAGAGGTAATAGCAGCATAGGAAACAAAAGTTAAAAAAGAAACAGAAAATGTGGGTGCATCCTTTCGTAGCTGACCGTCCTACAAGTCGAATGTTTTGCAAAATATACTCTGATTTAATAAAATATCCTGATAAGTTCTTTAGCTATCTGCGTTTATCCATAGGAGGAAGTATTGTACACATATTTAACCATGCAAATCATCCTAGATATCCCTTCCTTTTCAATACATACACACACCACATAAAAAATGTAAATAAAATTGTAGATCACAATGAGATGTTCGTTTTCTTTCATGTACTAATATTTTGTATGATTTCTTCTGATTAAAAAAATGTCAACACAAGTGTTATGACCGAGCGGTTAGAATTGCAACTTCCTATTTGAGTGATCCCAAGTTCAAGTCTTAGCCAAAAGACTAGACACCCCAACATCCAAGTCCAATAAACCTTAAACAAATTAAATGAAGATTCCTAACTGCTGGTAACTAATTTGAACTAAAATTTGCCCAATAAGTGCAAGTATATGACAAATGCCAATTCCACTTAATTCAGCTGAGTACTTTTGCGAGAGAAACATGCAGATCAAAGATGGGCAAATATTAAAATGTTTCACTTCATATTTAATTAATGGCAGTGCGAATTGCTGTACTGGGGATACTGGGAACGACCCGTTCTTCAAGCACCTGAGCACTGCGGGTCCCAACATTTCGTTGGCTTGATCTGTAGACATTCGGTAGGACTCCTTGGACGAGGGATCGGCCCGTCGCAGGCCACTACCTGTACACAGGACAGCACAACACAGAAAAACGCGGACAAACATCCATGGCTTGAGTGGGATTCAAACCCGCGGTCCCAGCGACCAAGTGGCACAAGGCCCACGCCTCAGACTGCGTGGCCACTGCGGACCCCGTCAATTGCTGTCAGTCTCCATAAACAACTTATATCAAGAAACTAGTTGTATGGGTTTATTTCAATATCTGGAGAAAGTGTAATAGGAAGAAACCTACTGTCAAGAATCCTAAGGATGTTACTTCACATTTTGATTATATGTGCAGGTTTAGATTCTGTCAGTATTGTTTGAGATCCAATGGATTCCACATGGAATGCAGAGAGTCTTAGGACAGACCTATGATCATATAACAGCAAATAACATTACCAGATCTTTATGAATGATAATCTGGAAAATATGTGGATCTGGTTATGATCTACATTGGGGTACTCAACTAGGAATTTGACCTGGTAAAACTAAGGAAAACATGAAAAACTTGAACTGAAAGTGAACTCCCTACCAAAATTCAGTGTCCACTTTTAAACTCAAGGGGAAGTAATTACGATTTTTACGTTCATTTTAAAGAAAATTAACAAAATAAAAATAAATATGATGTGCAGGTCACAGTGGCCACGTGGTCCAAGGTGTGCGCCTCATGCCGCTTGGGTCACTGGGTTCGAATCCCACTCAAGCCATGGATGTTTGTCCGCGTTTTTCTGTGTTGTGCTGTCCTGTGTACAGGTAGAGACGGGCTGATTCCTCGTCCAAGGAGTCCTACCGAATGTCAAAATAGATCAAGCAACCTCTAAAAAGAGAGGAAAAAGCAGACCCTGCTAAGCAGGACAAATGCTAAGAAAATGAAGAAGAAAAATAAATATGACAATATACAAAACTATATTTAAAGTTAACGATATGAAGAGGAATCAGATGTACACAAATGAGAGTGCCTGTATTGTTGGTTTTTTGACCTCGTCCATCACCTGACGTTATATAACACACATCTTGAGGACTGGATCTGTCCTCATATTCATGTGTGGAGATTACTACACGTGAAGATGAAGACAGATCCAGTCCTTGAAACATTGTGTATTTTATAACATTAGAAAAGGTCTAAAAACCGAAGAATCTGGACTATATCGCACCTTCACCAGAACACTTCATTACTGAAATGAGTGCATGTTTAAAAATGACCCACTATTAATTAAGAGCTTAAGATTTCTTAAAAGAGAAGCAGTTCTTAAACCACACGAGTCCAAAAAAGATGCTTTTCGGAAAACCTAAAATAACTACAAATCCCACTATTTTTCTGTAGGAAAGATCATAACAGACTTGATTTCCAGTATCTATTTGAATTAAATGAACATATTTCTTACATTCCAAAGTTAAACACAGAACATGTGTGAAACTGACGCTTAAAATGCATGAAACTGCACAAGCGCTTGCAACTATGGCCACGTGACTACCCCTACCAAACACCATGTGACATGACGGATGGCCTCTAGCCTGCTTCAAGTGATACCAGCCATGTGCGCATGCACATCAACCCATCTCACACATTTTCTGGAAGCTTCTCAGCATGTCTTGGTGTTCCTCTGAGTGACTAAAAAGATCCAGAATTTTGGAGATCTTTCACTGTGCATTTATATGAGGGACAAGTGGAACTGAAGACTATTCTGTTACAGACTAGTGAATGAGAGCATTATCTGATCAGAATGAGTCATGTGCAGGTGAGCCATTCTCTGTTACTAGAGTGGTGTACAGTTAGAAATCAATTCAGTGATTATGGCTGCTGACCTTGTAGGTGCGGACCACTCAATGAAGGATGGAAGGAAGGAAGGAGTTTCCATCGGTCAGTACAGTCTGTGTCAGTGCAGCAGTGTGAAAGCCTGATATTGTTGTCTTGTGACTATGCTGTGTTAACAACATGACACCTGTTCGTTACAATCTCCCTTCTGGTCATTGATAAAGCCTCGTATCACATCACTCAGACAGACACAAACTACCGACATCTAACTTGAAGAAGGACGAAATGAAAGCCTGGCTATTGGAAAGAAACACACCATTTTGTGACATGTTGGAAGCTCAAGTGTTTGATTTAATCAAATTAAATAAGCCAAAGCACAAATGTTATGTGACTGATCAGATTTAGCAGATAAAGAACATACTGTGCTGAGACTTTCGCCCTACCATCCCGATTTAAACCCCATTGAACTTATTTTGCCAAATTTAAAACAATGGGTTGCAAGCAAGAACACAACATTTAAAATAAAGGATGCCGAGCAACTGTGTCACCAGAGATTTGAAGAAATTGGGCAAGAGCAATAGGAAAATGTATGTCGGCATGTGGAAAAACTAGGACAAAATTATTACGAGCTAGAACACATAATCGAAGACCCAACTGAACGCATTATAATTGAAGATAATGGAGTGGACAGCAGCGGCGGCAGTGATGAATCAAGTGATATGTGAAAGTGAAGGTCTGTCAGGAAAGGAAGAATTGCAAGAGGACAGAAGAGTTGTGAAGAAGATAAAATTATCTAATACTCTTTGCAGTGTTAATATTCTAGTTATGTGTAGTGTACTGAAATCGACTTTCCTGTGATGTTTCATTTAATTTGCAGTGTACTGTAAACGGCCTGCTGCCATCCCTTCCTGCAAACTTCAGATAAGTGACTCGCTCCGAGGTTCTAATTTACAAAGCTCAGCGGCCAAAATCGCTGAATCGAGTTCTACCAACTGGGATGAAGATAACAATAGCACAAGTGTCCTAACAACAGATCAGTTATACCTAGTGTGAGCTCTGATATCTATAATACGGACTGTACTTTGTAATGCAACAGAACATTGATCAAAGAAATAAATATTTCTGACAGTGACTCAAATAGAACCAGGTATCATTTTCAAGAGCCCAAAATTTAATCGTCAACTCTGTTGAAAGATTAAAATTTTGAAATTTATTTTACACTTTGATATTATATTAATATTTTCTGTATTACATAGATGATTAACAAGATTCATAAAATGTAATTTTAATTCACAGGATAAAAGAAATAGGAATCTTCCTTGGGGAAGAACCACACACTTGATGTGCCTGGACAGAAACACACTGATTTAGATGAAGGTCATGGTGTTATAGGGAATGAAGGCAACAGACAGCTTTCTCCAGGGCAACGCACTCTGACAGGCTCAGAGCCCATCAGATCTGCTGCCTGTAAGTGGTCATAAGAGTCTCCAGCTCCTCATGTAGGTTTTCCCAGTCATAAAGGGATGCGCAAAGTACAACCTATTTTTTGGACAGGTGACGTGAGTCTGACCTGACATAGGGGTCACTGTGCACAATCCTGCAGGAATCCCTACATGATGATCTGAAGTTTCTCAAGGCCACTTTCAGGCACAACAGTTACAGTCATCAGATCAGAGAAACATGTCTCCATCACCTTCCCTCCCTCTGTCGTCATGACCTTCAACTGGAGAAGCAGGCTGCTGTCCAGGCACAACAGTCAGTCCATGGACCTTCTCCAACAACATTATGCCCTACAAATGTGACCAGGCCTGCAATGGGAAGACATGCTTTTCTACTGAGACTACGTCAAGGACCAAGGAGCAGTTCTATATTCTCTTCTTCCACTGTGGTCTGCTCCCCCTCCCAATTGCTCCATTGCTCTCTCTCCTCATCCTGTTTAACAGTTGATCTGGATGAATCACTGCTGTGATGATGAAGGCAGTAAGTGTTTTGAAACATCAGACAACTTCTATCTGTGGCCACTTCCCTGAAGACGGTCATCATCAAAGTTAAAAATTTGTTAACTTAGTACACTCTTACATCGGCAATGCTGAAGGTATCTCACAGTCAATGTCTAATTCCAAAAGCATTAAAGTTTTCAGTAGTACCATCAAATTTCACATATTTTCACAACTCATAATTCCATGTCTTCATTCAACTGCTTCTGTGATGGCCCTTTGACCTTTTCTCTTCTAAAATTAACGCATAAACTGTGCAATGCATTCATCAACGTATTCGCGTTGTTTTTCGATAACAATTTTCTCTTTTTGCATTTCTTCCAATATAGATCCCAAACGTTTCATTTCAATACCATATTTTTCTATTTTCAAGTATATTTTTTTAATCATATCTGCTGAAACCTTCTTCTTCACCTTCAAAATGAACAGTACTTGTATAAATGATATGTATATTTCGTATTTTGTATCAATTAATGCATTAAATGTACCTGCCCCATTCAATGTACTAAAACTTCATACATTGAGAGTATTTCAATTAATCAATCCCCTAATGCCATGATATAGTAAATTAAAAAGATGTCGCAAAACTTTCATGAGGTTGACTAAACTGCTGTGATTAATCGGGACTGTCAGTGCATTTAACAGAATAAACAAAAGTTTAATAACCAAATTTAGAAGTCCCAATTGACGTTTAGTGGTTGTATTCGGTCTGTCCAGACAAATGCCAGTTTAGACCTTGAAACAGGCTACGACACCTATCAAATGATTAACTACCCACCATTCATGATATTTTTCACACATTATGTAAGATCATTTTCATACTAAAACAGCATCATTAAACTTCTAAGAATCTGTTAATAGTCCCTATCTATAAATATACTTCCTAATACATAATGTACGGTCATTTAGCTTCAATACCTGGTCTGCCTGTTCGTCTTTCGGGAACTCTTCACATCCTTTCAAGAATTTGCATTCCTGACATATCATGTGATCCATCTGTTCAGTCACCAACTTTTGCTGATTTAATTGCTCTCGCAGTTCTTCATTTTCACTATCGGCATCTGACAATGATGCCTGGATGGCAAGCACCTCCTCGCGCTACACAAAAAATAAGACACATTCTTTAGGCAGTGTTGTCAAACCTTTAAACAAACAGTTTAACAATATAAAGGCCTACTGTTAATTTTGCCTGCTGTTCTGTATGACTGTGAAATTTGGTCTCTTATTTTGTGAGATGAAGACATATTATAAGTGATGGGAAGAAAGTGTCCAGGAAAATACTTGGAACAGTGAGGGATAAAGTAACTGTGGAATAGAAGGAATAAGATAATAAAGAACTTTGTGGTTTATATATGTCACCCAGCTTTACAGTACTTAAATGAAGGTGATTAGAAGGTGCCGCTCACGTACTTATTGTAAAAGCATAAAAAATGCATCAGAAATAAAAAAAGAGTAAAGAAGAAATATATTTTGAAGCTTAGTCAATGGCCAGAAAACATGATTCAATGGAACCAAGACTATGAATGTTTACTTAAACTGCCAAAGATGCGGAATGAACCAGTAATGACTTATTACAAGGCTGTATCCCATCACTTTCAAGGACAGACTGAGTACAAAATGGGGAGACAGCAAACACACAAACAAATAATCATGTACATGGCCTCCAGCCCAAGAATGGCACCAGGACTACCTGAATATGAAGCCCAATGCAAGACAACATCAGTTCACTTTCAAGCTTACAGTAATTTTACAGGAATGATTATGATGCATACGGAGGAATAAGACAGAAACCTGTTAAAGTATCTCACCACCCAGCATCCTCTTTAGCAGATTAAATGTGCTATTTTCCTGCAGTAAGTGACCAGTGGGTGGAAGGGACTGGTCACTACCGGCAGGTAATGCTGACTTTAACCCTTTGCAGTCCCTTTTAAATACCATTATGGCTCTCTGCTGGTCTATTTAAATGCCACTAAGCTGTATACATTCAACTACTATTATGAACTGTTTCGATTTTCTTTTTAACTTGCATAAAACGGAAGACATTTTGCTAAATATGGTTAAAATATGTTCTGAGAGGATGGCAGTTCGTTTTGTTTGAATACTGACCGTGTGGAATATTTTTCACGGAGTGTACAACTGTTGCTAGTGAGATGTGTAATAAATGGTGCCTTTCTGCTTCCTGTCATTCGGTAGACAATAAAGCAAGTCCAAGTCGGTAGATACGTCTAAATATCTCTTATTGCATGTAGATATACAATGTATAAGCACTGGATTTCACATTCTCAGAGCTGTGCTTCCTTTCACGATAATTGTTTTCCAAAGTTCGAGACCAAAATCAACATCAGGAAAGTAAAACAGAACGCAAACTGTGAACGATGAAGTCATTACACATAAAGAATGCTTGATAAGAAGACGAAAGAATGTGCACGTCAGTGGTAGATTGCTTTATGCGCCAAAAATAATTAAAAAATGTAATTTCCTATTAGGAAGATGGGATATTTGTTTTATAACTTTACCAGATATAAAATACTTCTATTCTAAGTAAATATGACAGCTACACACACAATGATATTACGTCTCTATATGATGTATGGCAAAACACCTGGTGTGGAATCCTGGCTTCCTTCCACACGTATCAGAATAAAATGACTTTACTCTCCTGCCTCCTTTCACTTTTATCAGGTCTCTCTCTCTCTCTCTCTCTCTCTCTCTCTCTCTCTCTCTCTCTCTCTCTCTCTCTCTCTCTCTCTCTCTCTCTCTCTCTCTCTCTCTCTCTCTCTCTCTCTCTCTCTCTCTCTCTCTCTCTCTCTCTCTCTCTCTCTCTCTCTCTCTCTCTCTCTCTCTCTCTCTCTCTCTCTCTCTCTCTCTCTCTCTCTCTCTCTCTCTCTCTCTCTCTCTCTCTCTCTCTCTCGTCATCAGTCTTTCGACTGGTTTGATGAGGTCCTCCATTTTTTCTATCTTGCTCCAGTCTCTTCATTTCCACATATTTTTTTACAGCCCACATCCTCAAAAATCTGTGTCACATATTCCAATCTTTGTCTCCCCCTACAATTATCAGGTACACAAAGTCTTACCAGGAAAACTAGGATAGAAATAGTGCAAAGAAGAATGCTTGAATGATACGCTGACACTGTTTGCCAGCCTCAGTTTGAATCCAGATCACGTAAAAAATTCGTAAATACGTGGTGGCCTCAGTCCGACATCGGACCGGAACTCAGATATTTAATGTCGGACTCAGTCCGACAGAGACTGCAAAGGGTTAAGAATATGTGGGAATTTACCTCCACTCCCTGTGTATGTCTTCATGGCATGGTGTTTAGCCACAGAGACAACAAATTCACATCTGCCTCACCTCTTACATTTAAGTGAGAAATGCTGCAATTACAAGGAATTACGCTCAAGACATGAAATTGCACAAATCTTTGGAATTGTACATAATACTTACAGCTGTTTTGTTGGCTTCCTCCAAGGATTTTACTTTGTCCTGCGCCTCCTTCATGCGCTGCTCAGCTGATTTCAGCTGTGCCAGAGCAGCCTGCAGTTCATTTTGGAGCAAAGCTTCTTGCCCACTGTGTTTTGATTCTGCAGATAAACAGAGATACAATTAGTCCAGGGATGGCCAAATTTGCGATCAGATGGTCCAGATGGTACAAAACACAATAGTAGTGGTTTGGTATGGAACCATTTTAATTACAACGGAACATGACACTGATACAAATGCAAATGTTACGGAATTAAAATAAGTCACATCACTCCTACGTGTTCAACTGATTGCTTGGTTACCACCATTATCAACACACATTTGCATCCAACATCAAGTGTGCTGAAAGCCTGTTGGAGCATTACAGATGCTGAAGATAGTGATTCTTGCCTTTTAACCTGGCAACATAGCGCACGTGAATTAGGCAAAACTGTTCTTTCACAAAAGAACGAAATGTGTTATAAAATGCGGGTGGTCAGGTTTGGACATCTGGAAGGCAAGATGAGGATCCATTTTGTCCAACTGACAGTGGAAATTGGTTATTAATAAAAGCATGCACACCACCAGCATTATGGGCTGGGCCCAGTAGTCTTGCAAAATTATGCTTTTTAGAAGACCCATATTATCAAGATTTGTGATTCACCAATGGGACAACAGATCCAGATAACTTTCACTAGTCACAGACACATCAAGGAAATATGGTCCAATAGGCACTTCACTGGTGGTGACTCCAGCCCATATCATAACATGCTACTTCTTCAAAAAGATGTGGATTTTGTTCAGCCCAGATATAAATATTTTAAGATCTTTCCCTGCGTAACAAAACACTGCAACAGGATGCTAAGGATGGAAAGTTATGCAATAAAGTTGCATAAGCCTACTGCCACATGTCCATGTCATGATCGCTTAATTCACTGATCAATGTGGGCTGATACTTATGACAGCTTTTCTTCCTAATGAATGTCATCTGTTGTTCTTTTTCTCCACTCGTGAAAACTTTTTATTTTGACTAACAGACCATCGGATCATGACTTACATGTCTGATTATCATATTCCTTTTTCATATCCAAACTTGTAACTTGCTGGGATAGAACTTATATGTAACACAGTATTCTACATAAACTCATTAATACTGTCATCTCTGAATAATTCTGCATTTCCACTTAATTCCAAACATTTTACTTTGCATTGTGTTTATAAATGGTTACAGTTTTACTTAGAGTAAACTGCTGTGTTTTACAAAAAAACAAAATGGGTAAAAGAAATAAGAGTATCAGGTTTCCACTCCTCTTAATGTTAATTAACTTGCATTTCTTACAAAAATAATTTTGGATGTCACACAAGAAAGGAATGAAATTACTGATGTACCACCCTTTTTTTCCATACACAACAACTGTATTTTTATGATCAGTCCATTTTAAAATACAGCAGTCACTAGAACATCATAAGACCCAAAACTATGTCTCACCAGCCATCTTATAGTTTCATCCCTCTTAACATCCCAAAATCTAACAAAACAACTGTTACTGTTCCTACAATGCATACACTGACTCATTTATGAATGACTCTTTGAATGATTCCTGAGGATGGCAGCAAAAGCTTATGAATATGGAATTTATTTGACAATGATGTGTATAAAGCTTCAAGATATTTCATTGAACATATAATGTGTTGTAGAAAAATGCCACACAGACAGGTATAACAAAACTAAATAAATTTTTTTATGGTTTCTAGTGACACAAAGGGAGCCAAAGGGGTAGTATGTGGTCTCGAGGGTACATATCCCGCTGGCAGATATGTACCCTCGAAAACTCGGGAAATGCCTACCAAGTCCGATGCATGCATGTCCAAGTCATGACCCCTGGGCAACGTTTTCAAGGCCAAGTCTTAAAAGGGCAAACAAGCGAGTTCATGACACTTTCAAATTGGGACTGGCCAGCTAAGGGTCACAATCCCGACAGAAAAACATCACTCCCTCAGGATTGCTGAGGGTTGGGCGTGAGGCTGACAACCTGACTCCGTAAAAAAGATTTGTTTCGAAACTTCAAGCTAGGCCTCAGATAGAGACGAAAGATTGAAGAGGCTTGGATTCAACTTTGAACTGTAGCGCCAAAAAGAAGAAGTGTCACAAACATTTCAGCTTACCCTTAACTATGGGATTTGAGGGATTATTCCTTCTCCTCAAATCAGTTACTTCATTCCCCTCCACACAGTCCACATTATCACTGGTTGACTTCACTACTCCGTCACGCAGATTATCAAGGCTTTCCTGAAGTAAAACATGCATGGTCCTTCACTTTAGCACCATTTTAAATTCACAGTCTTTACTATTTTATATACCCCCAGAGGTTGTGTTGTTTATTTATTGCACATACAAACATGCTGCTGCATAGCCAAGTAGTTCTTTTTTTTAATACATAGTCATATCATGAAATGTTGAAATAAAACTGAAAATTCTAATCACTTTGACATGTGTATTACATGTCATGCACCAGTTTTGCGTGTGGTTAGCTATTATGTGGGAAAATTATACATTTTTATATAATGTTAATGTAAACAGCAGAAAATTAAATTTTCCCATCAATTAATCCATCACCTCAAATACCAATTTTCATCAAAATCATTTGAACACTTCAACAGTGAGTAAGCACACTCTGATTACCCATAATTCTATAATTTCATAACATGGGAAGTTGGCACTGTCTTGGATTCTTACCTGTTCTTTAGGCAGTTCTTTCTTCACTGCAGTCTTAATGCCTCCTGGTGCCTTGCCACGTGTTCTCATTTCTCTTTGAATCACACTGCTGCCTTTACTCAAGTTCAGGCCAGATGTAGCCTTTGCCTGAAAGAAATGAAATTACAGGATACAGGAAAAACCAGCTACCTGATATCCCAAGGGACTTGTACTTTTTTCCATTCAGTCAAGTTCCCCTTAACTCAGCTAGGGTCTACTTTCTATACAGGGCTATTCAAAAAGATTGTCGGGGTTTTGTGAATTTTTGTGGGGCAATGCATTAAACATACGACTATTATCATTACACTGGTGGATAGAGAAACTCTCAAAGTTTTTTTACATGAATTATAAATGCTCAATATGTGCGCCTTCTGTCAATCTGCAGACATCTACACAATAGTCCATTTCTTCCGACCGACTTTGATGATATTCGAGAGTACAAAAAGCCTTCTTCTTACCGATAGACGCCATATTGCAAAATCTGGCACCTGGCGGCCAAACGCGTAACTACTGGATGGCGGGGGGTACAGAACAAAACTTTGAGAGTTTCTCTATCCACCAGTGTAATGATAATAGTCGTATGTTTAATGTATTGCCCCACAAAAATTCACAAAACCCCGACAATCTTTTTGAATAGCCCTGTACTTTCACAAATTAAACATGTAGTGAGTATGCGCACTCTGATTACCCACAGTGCTGTAATTAAGACATGTGAAGTTAAAACTGACTTGAAGATTCTCACCTGTTCGTTAGGTAATTTCTTGATCACTGAAGGCTTCACGCTTCTTGGTGGCTTGGATGTAGCAGACGTTCTTGTTCCTCCCTGCATTTCACTGTGCGTACTGTATAACTGATAAAAAGAAAATACAGGATATAGAAGAACCCAGTTACCAAAATCCCTGTCCTTAAGCAAGCCATGGAGACCTATCTGGGAAAAAGGGTGAAGCTCCATGCATTCCTAACACTGGCAGTAGGCATTGGTGTTCGGTGAGCTTCATGCTCTTTCCCCATTACCAATTGAGAAAGTCATACATCAGTGAGTATTCTCAACAATTACTGTGGTTTACTCCAGGCTTGTCAAACTCATATATTACTTGCAGTTAGTTACCATCATTTCATAGAAAATATATCATCCCAATCTTTATACAGTTAGCGACTGTAATCTTGAGACTTGTAAGCAATGCAGCAAGTCCAAAGCGTTAAAGGCAGACGCTATCTTTCCTCCTTCACCCCGCAAGTCTCAAGATTACAGTCACGAACTATACCTGTACCCAGAAAATGGTGGTGATAATATTTCTCTGAAATGTTGGTAACCACATGCAAGAGTATATGGCCTCACAATCATGGTTATTTCAACATCAGGGTCAATCAGAGATATATATTCTTACAATGAAGTGAGCTGACTCTTAAGGGCCACAGTCTAATATCAGCATGTCCAGAAATATCCATGGACTTCATCTTTCAGTATATTCGTTGTTTTATATATATATATATATATATATATATATATATATATATATATACACACATACATACACACACACACACACACACACACACGTATGATATTGGTAATCGATCACACTGAACTTCAGTACATTCAACACTCTTTATAACGAAAAAAATTAACAGAAAAATATTGCATGTTGAACTAATGTATGCACAAGAAGGAGAAAATGGATGAATACTGGTTACTGGACAGTGCTAAGATTCACATGAATTTTACTGAAACATTCAGAGTATAATGAGCCCCACAACTTTAGCAGTTATTTTAGCATGGACAAGGCAGTATTGTACATAGCGTTCATCCAAGTTTTGATAATACTAATAAATTCTCCATAGAACATCTGATTATTACTAAATTATATTTTTAATTAGTTTTTGTTTTAATGTCGCTCCCATCCCACAAATGTGTAATGTTATTGTCAACTGTAGTAAGGTGAAAAGGATGTACATATGAAAGTCTAAAATGATACAAGTTCCACACAGAAACTTCATAAAAACCTCTACAACAGTTCTCAAGTTAAAATAAGGAGACACACAGACAGACACAACATCTATGTATGTTCCCATTGTGCAAACATTCACAAGAGGATTCAGGAAATGTGACTGAATCAAGGAAGGTGAGATGCCAGCATACATGTAGTGTGCATGGGAAAAACTTGAAGGGACAAGACCATTTGGGAGACCTAGGCACAAATGGTAGGGTACGATTCAAATGCGTTCTGACGACATGGACTGCATTTCTCTGGTTATGGACAAGGCCAAGTTGTGTGCTCTTGTGAACAAGGTAATGAACCTTCCGGTTCTTGATCAGTTGGGCGCCCATCATTTTCTTAAGAAGGACCCTACTCTTTGGAGTTTATTACACAACAATAGTTACCTTAGACATTGTTCTGACACCCTCATTGGCGGAGCAAAGCGCTGAATTAAACCGAGAAGTCATCTGATTGTCATATGGCAAATGTCCCTTCTCTATACTCTCGCTCTTTGGGAAATACCTCGTTGAAGGAGGTGCACAGTCTAAAGAAAAACCACAGAATACACTACAGATGTCTTTCAAATCTAGAAATACAAGCTTTGTATGGACACAAAAAATTATCTCTCTCAAAAGGGAATGCAAATCATATGTGTCTCAAAATATCTGAACCTAAGCAGCTTGAAATAAGCAAGCAACTCTGGTTACTATGCAAAAGAAACTTCCTGATTAATACGAGGTCATGTACTGGCGTCACTGATTCCACGGCAGGGGAATCAAAGGCCCATCAACAGTCCTGCCATGTAGCTGGGATAGGGGCACAGAAACAGCATACCTAATTCCAGTAGGTTTGTTTGTTCTCACGGACACAGGTTGCAAAAATGGGAGATGGATCATGCCCAGTGTTACAATACTATTAATTAGTGGAAAACACTATGTAGGAAGCATTTTTTAAAAGTGATGTAAAACAGGCCATCCATGTGTTCCTCACACATTCTTTCCAATTCACCAGTCAGTCTTCCTACCATCTGACCACTGTTATTTTCTTTCACTTAATTGGTTGAGGTCATACATGAAGCAGTTTTATTATGTGTGTATACACATATAACGTATGGTCTGATGGCATGCAGATGCCCAAATACGTTACCATTTTATATCATACCATTTAACTAATCAATATTGATGTTCATATTGATATATATAGAGGTGAGAAAATAATATACACTGCTTTCACATATTCATCACTGCACTGAGTTTGTTATTTTTATGCGTAACTGACATGTCAGAACCAGACATGATATAATAATAGCAATGGGTGTTCATGAATATAGTATCCTGAATTTATATTCATGCTATGTGTATTTCTACAATTCAATTATGTACTTAGATTAGGCAACAAAACATGCAGGGAACAAAGTGGCAGCAGAGCCCTAAGATTCAGACACCACTAACACCAAAGTTCGTCAATTCGACATAATCATGAGTCAGCTGCATCAATCTCCCATCCTCATAAGCCAGCTCACTTGAGATGTATCTTGTTGATATTCTCATATCTTCGTTTTGGTCTTCCATATATCTCTTTTTCAAGATCCACTGATGCCAAAATTCTGTATGCAACTTTTCATGTGGAATGATTGGAATAAATGTTACTCCTTTATAGTAAGATCACACATTTCACATCCACATAAAGAACAGAAAAAATTTGTGGTGTCTCATATCTTGACATTTGGTGCTTCAGAATAAGACACGATAAAACAAAATTAAGGCTGAAACATTCCGCAGTTGTATTTCATTTTCTGAAGCTGTCTACATTACAAACTTCAGTATATGAATGGGCTCACGTGAAGTTTGAAGCTCCTTCTTGGCATCTCCGTGGAATTAAAACAGATTTAACAGTAGAATGAAATGCATTAGTATTCCATTAGGAATAAACACATATGGATTAATTCACTTACTAATATCTTGCTGAAACCTAGAAACCCTGGACTTCCCAAATGCCATTCTTCCTCAGAAACTTCTAGCCACACACTGTTTACAAAATGTTTCTAGGCAACATTAGATTTTATAACAATTATGTTCTGGATATGTTGTTGATTATTATAATTAATATGTGGGGGCATGTTCTCAATAAAGGAAATTATAGAGATAGGTTGTCTTGATAGATGATTTAGCTTGGTTATTTGTTTTGTATTTCTTTAGCATTTTACATTTATATTAGAGTTTTCCAAGGTAGATTATTTGCTTTTATTTATATTTCTTCATTAATGTCTTTGTGTATAATATTGTTTCTATTTTGGGTTTGCCTGTATTTGGCTGTTATATTTAATACTGTGCATGTATATGTTTAGTTAATGTAATATTTTTCATTATTATTTTTTTATTATTGTATGTATTACCAGTGTTTGTCTGTTATTGGCTTCTTGCCGTTGGCAAACACTTAAATAAATGAATTGAAATGACTGTTATAGAATCTCCCCCGCTCTATATGTTTTACGAAGCGACCCAGTTCATCAAAGAAAGCAGCACCGTTAATTACATCATTAATAATTTTCTAATTATATTTTCCAGACATTCTGTTGCTTCTTATTACTTCATACATCCCCCAGCCCCGTTTTAAAATATTTCAGTTGTATTTCGTTTTCGGAAGCTGTCTGTATTCGAAACTTCGGTATGTGAATCGGCTTGGGTGAAGTTCCAAGTTCCTTACAGGCATCTTCGCGAAATTAAAATAGATTTAGCAGTAGAATGAAATGCAATAATATTTCATTAAGAATAAACACATATGGATAAATATACATACTCTTTTCTTCCTTAAACCTAGGAACCATGGATTTACAAAACGCCATTCTTCATCACAAGCTTCTTTTCGTACACTGTTTACTAACTGTTTCCTGGCAACAAGATTTTATAACAAACGTATAAAGGATATGATGTTGCTTATTATCACGTCAGAAACACCCACCTCTCACGTAAACAATCACAATACGTATGACGGTGGAAATTGTTTTTCCAAGTAACCCAGTTCAACATAGTAATAAACATTATTATTTACGTCTTCGTTTAGAAAATTACAATGTCTACCTCTCATGTAGTTCCTACATGCATACCACACTGAGAAATTAAAAAACCATAGGCTCTCACCTCTATCATCAGATGGCAATACAAGCAAACTATTCATTATGTGGAAGGCATACACATACATCCTTAGAATTTCATAGGAATCATTTTTCTTTCGCAACAATTCTTTGCCACTTGACTTTCTTATCTTCACCAATAGGCATTAACCTGCAAACAGTACTGGCTGAGAAGTTAACTGGAATTTAAAAATGTTTAAAATTTCAAATCACAATTTTTACTTTTACCGTCATACATGATACACGTAAAAATGCAATGCTCATTACAGATAATGAACACCATTACAAAATAATTACAAACGATGGGCCCGTCACCACGTCATGGCGCGTCCTCAGGTTGTCGATAGAGGGACAGCCTTCATTTATGGAGGTGAGCTACGGATATATTGAATTAGCAGTCGCGGACCGCCGATAGGCAGTTGTCCTCCAACTTGGGGGGTTGGGCGTAGGGCTAACAACCCTCACAGTGAAAATGTTTTGTTACGAAAATAACAGTCAAGGGTTGGTACAGACTTGGAAGGAACAGCTATCCTGGCATATGCCTGGGCCTTGGGGAAACCATGGAAAACCCACGCCAGGATGCCTTGTATCCTGACTGATATTTAAACCAGGTACCTTTAAATTCAACTCAAATGTTCTGCTACAAATGCCATTTGTTTCTTTTTAAAAAACTCGTTCATTGTAAAAGAAACAGATGACATATAGGTGGTGTTTTCTCCACTGAAAAATGGAAATTGAGACTACTTAGTAGAATATTCACATTTGTATGTCAATATTTATGGCAATAAATGTAATAACATGGCAGTATAATGGTAGTATCCATATAACACTGGTCCCTGTGATCTTCAATCACTTCATCTACTTTAAACCTGTAACAGAATGCTCAATAACATATGTTAATGCATATTACTAGACCAACTTCTTTCATAGAATTGATTTCTCAAGGCAACCAAAATATATACTTCTTCATTTCTATGACATCATATTCAATAGTACACTACATTTTACTATAACAGTACCTGTTAAAAGGAAACCGTTTCTTGCCTCATTAACTGCAAGTTTTGAATTTGTGAATGATTCGCCTTACAATAAATTTGCTAATTTTCAAGCAGGCACAAACATGCTGTATCAGCACAGTGTGCAGTAATATTGACAGATTATTTCTTTTATTTTCAAACTTTTTTCTTGCATGAAATAATTCACATCTCTGGTTGCCTTCAGAAACTTATAATTCCTGATAGCACATCTGTCTTTTGCCCACAGTAAACAGAATACATTTACTTTCCAAAAATTAAGATGGCTGCAACACAAAAAACTACTTTCATAACTCTCATATTTGTATTATAAAGAGCACAACACAAACTAAAAATATTTGCAATTTAATACATAACATGTACAAAATTACTTCAAACTAAGAGCTATTTTAGAAAGAAGTGTTTGTACATGCATAACCACCAGAAGACCTGGCAATGCTGCTACCAAAATAAGAGAAAGGACTTGTATTCAAACATGCAACAGTTGACAAATTAACAGAAATAACACACTCTTTGTGTCTTCTTACTCGTGAATACTTATAATAGATTCTCACATGCAGCAGTTTCCTGACTGAAACGCAGTTTAAAAGGCTTTCATTAATGCAAATGTTAATGTGCAAGATTGTGTGGAGGTTTGTATGAAACTGTTAAAACACAGAAGGAACAATTCATTTTTATATTTCTTTAAATGGCTACAGACTGGATGACCAGGGTTACATCCCTGACAGGGGCAGAGGATTTTTCCTCTAACCTCTGCGACCAGACTTCAGAATAACAGACTCTCCCACTTCGCTGTGAAACACGAGTCAAATTCACACTGGTTGCTAGGCAGCTGTGCAGGTGCAAATACGGTGTATTCATGAGCATTTTGTTCTGTGGGGATTTTTCAGACAAGAAGTTTATTCAAAGAACCCACAAATCTTGGAGGAACTGCAACCCAATACTGAAAGGACTGTTGCCAACACTGACCCAGAAACACTTTGCAAAGCCACATAAAGCACAGAGAAAAATGGCATGTGTGTGTGCTTGAGAACCTGGTGGACATTTTTGTCATCTGCTGCAAAACTGTTAAGCCCTTCTCAACAAATACAAACTTAAAAGCAACTTGTTTGTTGTGTTGTACTGATAGTACAAATGCTTACAATTACTGTTGTAGTTACAATGCATTTTAAATGGACACTATATAATGTCAAATTGTAGGATATTAATGAATAATGATGATATGACAACAAGTAGTCATGGTTTATTGAAAGGTTCTATTCATGAATTTAGCTTTTAGAAGTGTGAGGAAAACCAAGGAAATTACTAGGACCTCAAAATCAATATTTGAACACAGGACCTCCAGAATATGAAGGTGTAATCAAAATAACAAGAGAGCAGTGAAGTAATGGCAAATAAATAAGAAACATTTTTTTCTCTATTCTGAATTTGGCTCAACAGAGGGCCAAGCCTTGTCTTACTTCATTTGCATATCATATTACACTTCCCATGCAGGAAGGAGGAAAAAAGAGTAAATTAACTGTTTTATATTCAGTGCCCATGTCTGCTGTCTGACAAGGCAACAAAATATTTTATGTTTTATTGAAGATTACTTTCCATCAGTATCTGTAATAAAGGCAGCAATATTTTAAATTCTACAGTCAACAGAGGCATCCATCCACCATTATGCCCCACATGTCAAGAACTAGGAAAAAGTTACAAAATTATGCATGCCATAACAATTATGGTAATTTGCAAGGTATGAGCTATGACCTCTGTGAATGGTGCCAATTATGTCAGAGTCAGGTGTTTCCTGTTTCCCATGTGGTTCGGTGGGTGGGTGGCTGGGGATTTGCCACACAGGGACTATCCAGTCACTTCAGCACACAGAAACATGTGTAGGTCCTCATGTAACGTGTCTAGTACTGCTAACATATGTGAACCAAAATTCACTTCCCTGAGTAGTATTGAAGCTTCATGCATGAACCTGTCCAACTTACAACAAAAGGGGTGTCCAAGTTCCAGGTTAAAGGATTGTCCAAGATGTAGGGTACTGTGCACATTTAAATTATAGGATAATCGTTGGTTCCAACTGAAAGTGTAAAATATAATGGGGTGTCAAACTTCATGAGGTTTACTGTATTTTCAATGCTGTTGCTACTCTTACACCCGGATACTTTCCTATCCGCCAACAACGATTACAAAATTGAAAGTACTCTCAGATTAACTCACCTAGGACGGCCTGCAATGCTTGATCCTCCCCAGTACGTCCATGGCCGGTCTAGTTTACCTTTTGTTAAATCCTTCTTCAATTAAATTCATCTTCGAATAATTGCTTTTCCCACACTTACATTTCACTCATACGACACAAAAACGTACCGGAACTCAGGTTCGTAGGCCCTTCCCCATGTTTCATCGATGATAATTATCTGGTGTAAGAGATTGTCTCCTTCAATTTCATATCGTTCCAAGTTCACACGACATGCTTCATAACGTGTCCACTTTGGAACCTCGTTTAATTCGTGGCACCTACTTCGCTGCGAACCTGAGCTTAATGGCAGTCCGCCGAGTGGCGACAACATCCAGAGTCGCCACAAGAGCACAAGTTTCGTCAAAACCTCCCTCGGAGACTACTTTGAAGGTTGCTAGTCTTAATGTAAGAATTCTGATTTAACTCACATTGAATTTTTTTAATCACAACTGAATTTTTCGAGGATTAAAGAATGAAAACACAACCGGTCATTCCGCAATATGACATTTTCTTACATACTATACCTACACCCATTCCACCTACCTGATCTGACTACGCCAATCGGAGGAGTGTATCGTGCCCTTTAATACGTATATTTTGAACTTTCTTCAATTAAACGTGTTTGCCCACAAAAAATTACCCATGACTTCTGAAGTAACCCTTGTATACTGTTACATGACTTACGTCCAGCTTTAAAGGTTTGCCAACAGATAAAGCTTACATATGTATAGTAACGCCAAGGTACTTGAACGCTCAGTACAATATGATGACTAATTTGTTCTTTACGGTTGATTTGTTTGTACATTGGCATTCAGAGCGACATTTAAATACATGTTATAAAAATCAAAATGCTCCAGATCCACAGTATTTAGCTTTAAATGTAAAGTTGAAGACATACATAACTTGAATCAAATGGCACTGATCATCTAAAGTTGTCGCCTTTAACCGTTGTCATGGCAACCAAAATTCCAGTTAATGTAAATAAACTGTCCGTACAAGGTCAACGATGCACATGTAAAACCTGAGGTAAATAATAAAATACTGTTTTCTTTGTCATATTCTGACACGTAATTAAATACGTGTAGTAGCAGTAACATGTTCAGATAACCCATTCTATATAGCTTTTTTATTTTAAAATCTTGTGATGATGAAAAATAATTACAATTGACAGAACTAATGGATAAAATGTTTTTTTATCCCTTAATATTTCTAACTGGCAGTTTATATTTGTGATGGTATTTCTAAAGAATAATCAGTTTCCTAACAGCAGAATACCAAACTATTGCACTTACAGGGCATTTGAGTGACAGCATAGGATCAATTCAAAGCTACATTATCTCCAATAAGAAGAATCTTCATTTCTCATTGGACAGAGCACAGGTGACACTTCAGGCAACCCTGATCATGCCAGACTTAGTGGAACAGATGTATTCCTCTCAGCAAATTTATATACCACCCACATTCCCATTCATATTGAAGCAGTATGCAAAAGCAGCAATCCGTACACAGCCATATGATCTGTTACGCTGGTCATCTGCTTATTTCCGAGCAATGGCTCAGGGAGAAGAACCTCCTGTTAAAAAAAGGTTGGAATATCCACTTGTTGTTACACCATCTGGATTGTCTCCAGGATATCTGAAAGTATTACTTAAGCAGGTAAATTGTTAAGGAAACTGAACTTGTTTTTTATTTAACACTTTAGTGAATGTCATTAAAGTGAAAGTTATTAGAGAATTATAATTAGTGAAACTGAAAGAATGAAGGAACAGACCATATCCTATTTGAAGTAAATATTCTAAAATTTACTATTAAGAATCAAGGATACTAGTCAGAATAGTTGAGATTCAAACCAGGTCATTTCCAAATTCTTATCATATGTAAACCACTGCTCATTGGTGCATGACAATATACCTTTCTACGGCATTCTTTTCTTGGTTGTCTTGTCAATAACGTGGAACTGTGTGCCATTATTTTTACCCTTACCTTATAAAAACTAAGTTTCCTTTTTCTGTGTAATATTCCAGTCTATGGAGTAAACTAGTAATCAATGTAAGAACATCTGAGAGATTCATGTAAGCAAAGCCTGTCATTTTTGCATGCAGAATGTATATTTATTGCAGTGCTTGAGAGTTTTATATCTTTAAGCAACTCCTCTTATACTTCTCATCAGTTTACTGATCAGTTAAAGACACTGATCCTTTGGAAGTCATAAGATATATTTTAGGAAGATGCTTTCTTTCAGATTGGAACCATAGATTCAGTATCAACTGAAGTCCTTCGTGACAAATGGCAAAGCATTTGTCTTGATGAGAATGCTCTAAATGAAATGCTCAAAGTAGGTGGCTTTACAGAAAATGTGGACTGGTTAAAGTTCATAGCAATTGCAGCTGGTCACCTTACAAATGTAAGTCACACAAAACTAGTACAATTGCACAGAATGGTTTCTGAAATTAAAGTACCTGTTAACAAAAACAACAACAAAGAAACAAACACTTGGTGGTTACTTTTTCAGTGGTTTGTACAGACTTGTTTTTATATTTAGTTGTTCACATCATAACAAAGTTTCAGAGAAATCAGTGTTCCCGATTTAAGCAGTCAAGGTGGAGAATACTAATTTCTCCAAATGGTTGGCAAAACAGACCACTACACTATGGTGTCATTATCAAAGAACAGAAACAAATCACTCAGTATAGTTTCCAGGTGTAGGCCTTATTGTTCTGCCCATATCTGAACTTCGCATACCTTCAAAAGCTTGGAGAATTATAAAAGAAGAAACTCTTCCATTATCTGGGCATGAAATATTTTGTCATATTTTCTAAAGCAAGGCAAATACAATGAAGTGACAGTATATGGGAACTAAGAACTTTGATTATGTGATAGACAAGTAGAATTGGAAGTGTTTTGCTTTACAAAACATTCAGTGATATAGTTCATCACATTACAGGATCATACTTGGGTAGTTTCTCCACCTTATCTGATATTGTGGCAAACATCTGAATACATTTACTTAAACAGTGCAGATTTTCAATACGTAAAATGTACATCAAGTGCAGAGTTGAATTGAATGGACTTTTAAATATTTATTTTATTTTCTGCCATCTGAAAATTGTTTCCTCTGTGGCACCGTTTTATTACTTTTACACCAATGTGGCAAAATGATTATGTAAGTTTCAACTTAGTCATGTTGACCCAGATATCAATAAAAGAGGAATATAAATGGTAGGAAGTATATATATTAAAGCTTCCCTTCCTAATGCTAACTTGACCCTCATGTGAGCAGTCTATTTTCACAAACAAATCTCTAAGGATCATCATGTCAACATGATAATTCTCTGACTAGTGTATAAAGTGCCAGTAAAAGTAAAAGTAAAGTTTGTCCCACTCTACGCCATGTAGGCGTTTGGGGTGAGAGGAGGTATAGCTCCTCCCTTCCTTGACCTCGGCACTAGATGGGGGTGAGTGGTCAGCATCACGCCCCGGCCGGCTTTACCCCCGGGAAAGGACCCCGGTACCCATTTTAGAGGAGGCTGGGTGGGCCCCAGAGCCGGTCTGGACGCAGAGGCTAGAGGAAAAATCCTCTGCCCCCGTCGGGGATCGAACCCCGGTCGTCCAGCCCGTAGCTAGTCACTATACTGACTGAGCTATCCCGGCTCATGTATAAAGTGCCAGTAGACCTTAATAATTAGAGAAGACTAAGTGATCATATAAGTATTATATCTGGTGTGGAAGAAATGCTGCTATCAAGAAGTAGATTATGTTAGTCATAAAACTCTGATTTTCATGATTTGATGTGTTTTTGAAAGTACTACTGAAACTGATATATCAATATTAATACTGTATTTCACAGTCGCTGACTCAAACTATGTACCTGATCTGCGAACTGCTCACTGAGGAACCTGAAGGTGGGAGCGACGCAATACCATTTGAGACCTTCAAACAACTGTATGTGTTCCTTGCAGAGATGAATTGTGGCACAAGTGAGAAAGAAAAGGCTGCAATGGGAAAACATGTTGCAAGTGACGGTATAGTTATAATCCGGGTTAATTTTTATGTAATTATAGTAATAAATATATAAAAATTGTTGCAGTTTGTAATTTCTTAATTGTAAAATTACACTTCTTGGAAAAAGAGGATTTAGTTTCTCTGTTGTGGGACTATGGTTTTTTTGACAAAATGACCTGTGGGATACAAGATAAAAAAAGATGAGAATCACTGATTTATGGAGAAGTGTGATGTCACATCCTTTCATTTTTAGAATTGAAGTTTCAAAAGTAAAGAGTAATTCAGCATCTGTTTATAGCAGTACACAGGTCATTGTTTACATTTATTATGGAGTTTATTAAAAGTGTTTGATGTAAGAAATTAGCTCATCATATCAGTAGTTTTTTGTAAGAAAAACCTTGGGAAAAATGGGGTATATTAACAGCCTTTAATTATCCCTTTTGAAAAAATAAAAAAAAAATGATGGCAATGCTCACAAATTATATTTATGATGACATTAATAAGAGTAAAATAAATTAGGAAAGGCATGTATCAGTTTATTCAGAACATTTTATCTTCTGCTCTAAAGTCTAAAGATTGAGATGCATGGCGTTATACATTTACCTGTTATTTTGCATTAATGCAAAGCCTGACCAAAGAACAGATACGGAAGGTATTTGTTTACTGATTTTTGGGGAAATTTCATGGAAAGAGACCATCTCAGGCACCAAGAAAGGAAAAAAGAGAATAATATTAAAACTTAACTTTATGAAACTGGTTTCCATGATAGCAACTGGAATATACAGGTCCAAGATAGAATCATATTGGTGATCTTTTTGCAATGGAAGCAACAGTCCTTCAGTTTTCATACACCAGGAAGTTTCTTTGAACAACATAATATCAAGTGCTGGAAAAAAAAATTCATTCAGTACATCTACTGGTTGTTGTTTGTAGTAAGCCACAAAGTAGGAATGTATTATGTAGGACATTAATGCAATAATTTTTCTCCACAGGAAACACTGGGTCAGGTGAAGAGGAACCTGCTACACCTAAATTGTGTAGTGAAATTAATATTCCAGGAATTGGCCCAGTAAT